TGCACAAATATATAGTATCAGATGCATTGATTCTGTCTTCTGCTTAGATCTTCCATTCCTGGTTTCGCGTGATGACGTCGCGCAGCTATCTAGTTTTTATAATGAAAATTCAAAAGTTAATTATGGCTGGAAATTAGTAAACAATTATGTAATGTGGGCCAAATTTTGCAGATCTGTGGTCGTTGACCAATCAAAATCGAGTGACAATTTTGTGTCGATCGTTTAAAGAAATCTGATTGGAGCATATTGACTGTTTTATTTAAAATATTATTTAAAATTATATATGCACTTGCTATTATAACAAAAAAAAAAAATCATAAAATGCTTATTTCGAGCATCTCTAAATTGGATAATTTTTGAAATTTTCAGATCAGATTGGGTCTTTGGCCCGACACACTAAATACTTACCTGATCAAAGTTTCTATATTTTAATTCTATAATTTTATAGGATTAAAATAAAAACTTTTGATCAAAGTTGGTCAGGTAAGCATCGAGTAATTCGCAAAATTATAATCTGTGCTCGGTTGGAGATCACGTGACGATGTTCGTAGTGACAACGGAGAGTCGGTCTTCCGGGACAACCTAATCCAGCACACCAGACAACCTATCGAGAGGCGTGTTTAGTGATGTGCCATTTATATGATATTCCGATTTGGGTAGTTTCAAGAACTTTGAACTCAGTAATATTATCACTAAGAAGTTAGGGTTAGTGTTAGGGTTAGGTGATAATTTAGTTTAATAGTGCTAATAAACAAATGACGTCATTGTGTTATTTCACGTGATGTGATGACCACCAAGTTCAGTGTTCTTGAAGTTCCTATACCGTTTTACATATGTTTATAATTAATTGATTTGTAACACCCTAATATTGCACACCGGGTGTAGGATGTTTCAAATTATACGGATAATCGACAGACCGCATAGAATTGTATTAACTGTCCGGAATTCTCAACTTGTAGAGCTCGCGGCCGCCAAAAGTCCGGGTCATATGATCCAAACTATCGTCACCACATCTTAATAACCAGTAGTATATTGCAACAATAAAGTTGCATGCAGGAGCTACATAGACGCTTCAACAATCTTTTAAGAAATTATGCAGTGGCTATATAATGTATATAATCTGATCCGGACTTTTGGTAGCTGCTCTGGCGAACTCCAACTTGTATACCTTCAGACTTTTAAATTACTAAATTATAGGTGTAATCTAAATAATATAGACGTCAAAAATAAAATTGATTTTTATTATAACAATGACCTCTAGTAAAGAATTTTGTTACGAAGGATGGCGGTATCAATTCGGTATCGATGTGAAAAAGACTTTGGGAAGGCTTTTGAATACTATAAACAAGCCGCGGATCTAAACAATGGTGAAGGATTATTCTGGACCAGATTTTGTTACAATTGGGGAATAGGTGTCGACAAGGACTAGAAGGAAGCATTCAAACATTATCTAATGTCAGCAGAAACCGGTTATAGTATTGTAATTTACAAAACTGCTATTTGTTTCAAGTTTGGAATTGGTACAGAAGAAGATGAAGATAAACATAAAGAATGGCTTAATAAAGATCCACTTCAACAACAACGTTATTATGCAGATAGAAAGGCTACAGCAAACAAATGCGAAAGTTGTAATAATTTTATGACACAAACAAGTTGGTGTATCACGTGTGATCCAGATATGACAATACAAACGTGGACAAGTGGAAATAAAGAGATAGATGATTTGTTAAAATTTTTCCAACTTAGAACTTGTTCAAGATGGGATCGGGTCAAATGGATTCCATTTGAAGAACTAAAAGATATCAAAAAAGTTGGCGAAGGAGGATTTGGATCAGTATTTTCGGCAACTCTGTTTAATGATGATTTTTGTGATAAATACTCTTTAACTTCTGTTGCTCTTAAAATTTTACAAAACTTTAAAAAAGTAAGTCTATTTAATTCTATATTAAATACTATTATATAAAGTGTTTATTTTGTATAAAATTTAAGTTTGTTGATTATATGAATATAATTTTTAAAGAGACTGCTTTATTTATGCTCAAGCTATATGGTTTAACCTGAGATCCAATATCGAATAAATATTTAATGGTTTTTGACCTTGCATCTGAAGTAAGTCTTCATAAAGTTTTAAAAACAAGATTTAAAGAACTAAAATGGGCGGAAAAATTAAACATAATTACGTTTACTGCAAGCGATTTAGCGTCAATTCACGGAATAGGATATACCCATGATCTTCATTGCGGTAATATTTTAATTGATTCTTTCGAAAAAGTAATAGGTACTTACATTTCAGATCTCAGATTGTGTAAAAAAATAGACCAAAAAGATCCAAAAGGTTGTATTTATGGAGTACTACCTTACGTTGCTCCAGAAGTTTTAATGGGTGGCATATTTTCGCCAGAATCGGATATTTACAGCCTTGGAGTCATCATGTGTGAGATGTCAATCGGACAAAGACCCTTTGATGGTCATGAATTTAATACTGATCTTGCAATAAAAATTTGCAATGGACTAAGACTAGAAATCGCTCCTGGGACCCCTGACTGCTACATTAGACTGGCTAAGCAATGTATAGATTCTGATCCACAAAAACGGCCTCATGCTGCTTGCTCATATTCATTATAAAATTGGGAAATGGGCTCGGGTTATGGGTGAAGAAGTTAATGTTTTAGATGAAGAATATTATGAAACTGATGATGAATTTTATGAAACTGTTGGTTATTCTATATATTTGGAAAAAATTAAAGAGCAATTCCTTGAGGCAGATAAGATACCAAAAGAATTACCGAATATCGCAACAAAGCATTCAGAGGATATGTACACAAGTAAGGCGATAAACACACAAGAGATCCAAAAATCGTTGAAGATGATTATTGAACCAAGCATACCAATAATCAGTTTTAAGATTCCAGATGATTGTTAACTTAGGGTGTTCTCAAGCACTTCACTCAATGAATCGGAAGTAAAATTTTAATTAGTCGGAATTAAATTAATCAAGTGAGTTACCATTTTGATGAAAAAATCAACGAGACCAAACCACCTTTTTCTTCAAAAATTTACCATTGATAAAGGTCGCTCAAGCATTACTTTTACATTTTTTACATTTCAACCATAATACTCAACAAATTTCTAACCGGTCTAAGATAGCCACTTTATTTTTAATTTTCAAAGCTTTTAAAACAAATAATCGATACCATGATACGAATGTAAATAGATACGATCAATCCATCAATCCTTAAACTTTTAATAAACTATAATGAATACTGTTTAAATTTAAAATCTTCTCAATAAAAAGGTCTAAAACTGAAAGGTTTGGGTAGATGTTTTCCATATTTGACGGATATTAAAGAAAGCTAAAATCATTAAAAGGAGGAGCCGACGTAACTAAAGTTGAAACTTTAACGGTTGATCAAGAAGAAATTTTTTTTATTAGGTTTTTTAGGTAGTATAGCGAACATTACAAAAAACAGAAAAAGTATGCTCAAGCATTTAATTCTATAAATGGGATAGTCCACAGCAAAACGGTGTAATGAGCCAACCAATTAGATTTTGAGATTTTATTATAATAATCTGCTTATATATTTTATTTTTCTAAAAATGTTTTTAATTTGTAAAATATGCTGATAAAAAGTGTATAAATTTAACTTATTTTTTCGTGATTGTTATATTAAAATTAATCATGTGATGATCTTCAATTGTAATTTTCTCAAAATCACATGATTGTCTCATTACACCGTTTTGCTACGGATGATCCCAAATATCGGCATGAATTGTGATGTTTAAGTGTCATCACGATTATTATCTGATCAATTGATTTAGAGCAGCCTCAATAAATTTATAATGACTTTTTTGTAAATAAATTTTATTATGGATAAATGCTATCTAAAATGTCAAACGTTTGAAGAATTTGGAGCTCATGCGATTAATGTCACCAGGGTCGAAATTGGGCTGTGGTCAAATATTAATTTCTATTTTTGTAATTTTTTTTTTATTTCTTCTATTTTTAGCTATGATGGGTGGAATTTCCTTTTGAGGCCACTAAATTTACTGAATTTAGTGAATTAAGTAAATTTAGTCAAACTTTTAGTGAATTTAGCGAATTAAGTAAATTTCGTCAAACTTTTAGTAAATTCAGTGAATTAAGTCAAACCTTCAATCTGTAAATTTTATTATAAAAGAGCTCTTTACTTGCCTCAAATAAAGTAACTCAGTTAGAGTTTTGAAAACTTTGAAATCATTATTAGTAGAAGTTGTTCTTTAAAATTATCTCCCTTGACCCAAATATTCATAAATCATCTGATAAATCTGTCCCCCTTACTCTGTTACCTTGTCAGAAGTTCATATTTAATCGTAGTACTTAGTTGAGTTTAGGTTAGAGTCTTCAAAATTCGAGTAGAAGTGCTCTCTTAAGTTATCTACTCTTCGTTATTACGCTTATATATACTCGTTAATAGTACAGAATTTACCACTTGTCAGAAAAACCAGAGACCAGAAAAGAGAACCTAAAACTGCATTATCTTATCCTTATATACTCAAATTTACCTGATTATTAGATAGATCTATTGTCATCACTAATTGGTATAACAATTGATCGAACTAATTAGGGTGATCATCATCATAATTTCTCGTGACATAATCTACCTGTGATATCACCGGTAAAATCATAGTAGGTTAGTGGTGTTCAAAAAATTTTGCTTTTTTGTATAACCCAAGCTTCCGGACCTCGATCCGATGATTCAGATTCGGCCCTTGGATCGCATCTGCAAAATATTTATATAAGTTTAATACCACTAACTGATATTATAGCAAAATTACAATCTGAGCACTTTACATAATATATCAATTAGCGTTTTATTAATAAAATTTGTTTATTTCGGCCAAAATTGATTTGGTCCGGAAGCTCAGTTACACGAAAAAGCAAAGTTTTTGGACATCACTAACCACTATAAAATCAAAGACCCGATTTCCAACAACTATCTACCCGTGATGTAAATCTTATATTAATCACCAATAGCAACTAGTATCATGATTACATAACACATGACCAAGAAAAGAACGAACATTCCAAAAATTAAAGAACTAGAAGTGTTAGTGCAGTCAGAGAATATAGCAAATAAGGGCAAATTAGAAAATCTGGTTCTAGAATGATCTGCACAGATTTGATTGGCTTTTGTATGACTTCTTGCCAATAGTTTTAAGAAATTTTTTACACATTTTATTTATTGCTTAAAACTTCCAAATAAAAGTATTAATAGATAGTAGAAAACATGTAGTTTAAATAATCCACAATAATCCATTCTAGTTAACTCTTGTTAAAAAAGTAAATAAGATTTGGAATATTCTAGTTTCCATAATAATAAATTTTTTTTCTATTCAGTTGATTTGATTGGATAATGATCATTCTTGGATTGACATAAAGAAATTTCTGGAACCATTAGATCAGTGTTCTATTACCATAAATGGTGTGATCAGCACTGTACATTTATGGTATATTCCCTGACTGTATTATATAAATAGGCTTGCAAATAAAAATAAATAGGATTTATAGATCGCTAATTACAAAATAAATACATCGCTAATTTAATTCGAAATCAGAAGCCTGAACCTTAAGTCTGAAACCCCTAATACGCCACTTATTTTATCCGAAATCAGATGAGTGAATATTTTTAATTTTGAAACCCCACAATATAGCAATTATCAAGTGAGCATCGAAATATAATTAATTCCACATTTAAGTTTTATTCACAATTATTTATTGATCTAAGTATTTAAAATGAGCTACTGCGTTTGTTTCACATTAGATTGTCTGTATTAATAATGATTATCTGTCAAAATCATTTCTAAATTACGCAGATTTGTATGGTATGGGGTGTGTGAAATACCCTAGTTAAAGTTTGTACTGAACTGATCCAGTGTAATATAATATTAGAGGTAGCATTATAAATTATCGCGGATTAGTTTAGTATGGATTTAAAATTCTGGTCGGTATTCGAAATTTCAGATCCGAATATATTCTCAAAGTATAGTACATATAACCAGAATCATTATTAGAAATTAATGTTCTCTAAGTTCTTATATAAACTTGTGCACAGTATAAATTATTTAATCAGGTTTCATTATAGCTCTCACATCAATATAGATATACTGAACTTAATTTTGCACCAAAACTTTTTTATGTATCTAAATATTGGATCCGCCTTACTTCACCAACGGTCATTTTATTGACAGCTCATTTAGCCGGTATCACACAACTAATCAAATGCTAAACCTAACCCTATGTGATGAACTTTCGATGAAATGACTGTCGTTGAAGTGAGCAACACTGCTAAATATGGTACTAGATATAACTATTCTGTATCGGGAGTTATCCAGTATTTCTAAATCAGGTTTATATTCATTAGTTCCTGGTTTAGCGCGATAATGTTGCGCAGCTACTTATGTTTAAATTTGTTATATTAATGCTTAATAAACATTTACTGATTTCACCGATTGCAATGTAACTTGCGTTATTTTTAAATATACGATTAACATACGTCAATTTCGAAGCAACATAAATTGAAAATAACGAAGAACATTACCAATTACCATATTCTATTTAATAAGAATCATAATTGCTTTTTGTTTCTCTTTCATGAATAGCGAATAGTCTTTCTATTTTCAATCTTGCCCATTCATCACCACCTTCATTTGCTTTTGAATACCAATATAAAGATTTATCAAAATCTTTTTTAACACCTTTTCCTTTTTCATAGCAACGTGCTACCTCATATTGTCCATCTGAATCATCTTCATTGGCAGCTTTCATATACCACTCGAATGCTTTATGAATATTTAATTTGGTTCCTGTACCAAATTCATAACAACCTCCAAGTCGATAATATGCTAAAACACATTTCATTTCAGCTGATTTTTCATAATTATGAAATTTCTTATATTCATTTTTTTCTACACCTATACCATGCTCATAACAAAATCCTAGTTTATTATACGCAATTGCGCATCCCCCACCGCCAGCTTTCAAGTACCAATTAATAGCTAATTCTTGATTCCTAGTAGTTCCATATCCGTAATAATAACATTCACCTAAGAAATATTGCGCAATAATATTGTTATTTTCGGCAGCAACTGAAAACAATTTGAATGCCTTTTCACCATCTTCCTCAGAAATTTCAAATTCGATAAGATGAAGGAATGCGAGAAGAATTTGATCTGAAATGAAATTATCATTATTTGAAATTAATTTTATTATCATTCTAGGTTCGTTCGATATATTTTTTAGGTAATGTTTAATAATTTTTATAATATCTTGGGTATTTCTCCCTTCGTTTACTGCCTTTGAAAATAATATCCATAATTCATCGATGATAAACATTGTAATTTGAAATTTGTCAATAAGTTACATTATATAATGTATCGACATGGGAAATAAAATTCCGAGTGTGATACATTTATCACCTTATAATGTAATGGTACGTACGTACGTCGGAGTATGAATTAAAATCTTCCGGAATATCCAATCCAATTAAAAGTGATTATCCAACATTTTATATGATCGTATGATTTATTGTCTTTTTATGCACAATTACTATCACATGGTCATATATACGTACGTACGTACGTATGTCTTCGAGTTACTGATGATCAAAATTAAAGTATAAATTTATGGTTTACTAAAATAAATGCAATTTTATCTCAAAAAAAAAGACTTACAATTTTTAAATACTGCGGTCAACTTACGATTTTATACTGCGCTCATTTACATTTTTTAAATACTGCGCTCAGCTATACTGTGCTCATTGCAATTTTAAATAGTTAGCTCATCTTACGATTTTATACTGCACTCATTTAACGATTTTGCAATTTTTAAATACTGTGCTCAACTTATGATTTTATACTGCGCTCATTTATCGCTCTTTTTGATTTAGTTGGATCGATGAATTTTTTTGTCTGTGAGTCCCATGAATCCGTGAATTTCATATATGCATATGCTTGCATATAATAATTATTTGTAATTGTTAGTTGTTTATTATCATAACATAATAGACAGCTAAAAATTGGTTATATGCAGGATATATGCATATATGAAACTCACGGATTCACGGATTAATGGAACTCACTGACAAAAAAAAAATCTGCAAAATTCATCGATCCAACTAAATCGAGCAATTTTTTAAATACTGCGCTCAACTCATGATTCATACTGCGCTCATTTAACGATTTTTACAATTAACCATAGCTGCCGCAACTAAATTGGACCGGAAGATTCTCGATTTTGATTGGCTAAGAGTGCGATCAAAAAATTAGGTCGGAATTTACTGATGAAATCATAGCGCCCAATAAGTGAAAATAGTTCTTAGGACAATTTTAACACAATGCGGGCTTATTTTTTAAGAATTTCTATTCATATGGCGGGAATTTTTAGTAGAGTGCTGACTATATAAAATTAGGTGATTATACTCATAAAAACTGATAAGTAACGGATCAATTTTGATAAGTAATGGATCATTTGGATCATTTGGATCATTCTGGTTTTTTTTAGCTAATCTGTTCGGTATACTGCTCATAAAAACTGATAAGTAATTGATAAGTACTGTAACTCATAAGCAGTTTTACAATCACCGACAAATAATCACTTTTAATATTAGCAATCGCACTGTATCATATATATTATTGGCTCAAATTCTATTTAATCTCATCATCCAACTTAAATAATCACAAACTAATCACAAAATTGAAGATTTCTGCTCATATGTTTTTGTAATGAAAAAATTAATAGTTAGTTCTGGCCAGAGATTAGTAAACATGTAGACCAAAATTTTGAAGATCCTGGGCCATTAGTCAATTAAAATCAAGGATCTACCAGTCCAATTTTGTTGCAGGAGCTATGGTTAAATACTGAGATTTTATACTGGCTCAATTTACAATTTTTTTAAATAATGCATTCAATTTGCAAATTTAAATTTTTAAAATGATGAACTTGTTTTAATTTAATATTTAATATAAAGAAATTTTACAATTCATTGGCACTTTAAATTCTGCATTACAATCACAATGCTCTATTATAGCTACTTGCATTATTTATTTTGAATAATACAAAAAACTTTGGTTTATATATGTAGCATTACCTTTATTGTTTTTTTAAACAATATATAGTATACCTTGTCAAAACCAGTATGCATGGTAGACAAATTTTTTATCAGCTTTAAAAGATTATCAGGTTTAAAAAAACAGGTTATTAGTTTTAACAGGATTGGTTATACTATACAGTATACTCTATTAAAACTGGTATACATAGTAGATAATTTTTTATTAGCTTTAAAGATTATTAGGCTTAAGAGATTTTATTATATTAAAAATAAATCTGATGAATTAATTTTTCATTAAGTTTACCATATTACCGCGAAATAGCGCACACCTGCGTGGTATTTCGATCACCTGCGCGGTATTTCGAGTACGCGCATGTGCACTATTTTGAAATCAACCTAGTTTTTATGAAATTCGGTGCTTTGACTAACTATGAAGTGCGTAATTTACTATTTGTTTTTTGACA